AGGATCAACATGTTCCCAATAAAAATGATACATGTCTTCTCTCAATTTGTCATACACAAGGCACAATGTGTCAATGAAGGTGAGACTATGATATACCTTTATGGACAGGGAAGAAGAAGAAGAGAAGGAAGACGGCATAATCTTTTCAGCAAATGATGCAATCAGTAATATTCTAAACATTCAGGACTCTAGCATTGTTATATTAGTTCTTAATATTTTGAAAAAGGCCCAATGACAAGTATTGAGAAAGAAAAACAGACAGACAGACAGACAGACAGACAGACAGACAGATCAACCGACCATAGGTAGAATAATAGCTGTTTAAGAGTAGTACTGATTATTCTGTTTTAGTTTGGTTTAGTTTAGTAATTATATATCAGCTTACTTCCAATTTCTTTGTTGTAGTTCACATCATGCAAAAATTTGAATGTTTTAGATAAGTTGCCTGTTATCATCACTTGACTATTTTTTTTTAACAAAATCCCTTTTCCCAAATCAGTTTTAAGAAAATATTGTGCCAAATGTGAAATATCATTACAGTCCCCTTGTGATTAATATATTATTGACAGCAGCAAATTACAAAATTGTCTCCTAGGAAAGAAACTGCAGATTAAATGCTGCTGTTTATTAGTGTGCTTGCAGTGCATCAAATATTCCTCTGTAGAGGAATAAAAAGCAGTATCACAGGGACTTTTTTCCTCTATCTTTTGTTCGAATGCATAATTTCATTTTCTTTATAGGTTCTGATCCAGGGTGCCATTAAAAAGGAAGTGTAATCACATGGTTTAATTTAAAATTTCACTGATTTACCTTGGTTTATTCGCCTTTTAGATGTTGTTGATAAAGGAAAAATAGCTGAAAATGGTTTTTTAAAAGAATGATATTATGAAATATATATTTTAAACTAAGTGCTCTATAAATTACTGATATGATTTTCTAGATATATTTGTTTCCTATGTCAAGTGACCTTTAATAGTCTTTCTACATTTTAGAGAAATTTGTACTTTTATTTGCTTGGTTTGAAAATTATTTAGGTATGTTTTATAATTCATAACATTTATTCCACTTCCAGCCTTCATGCAGGTTTTAATTTCAGCTACTATAGGTTCATAATCAGAATATATCTGGATCAGTTTCTGATATATTCTATATCTTTCTAGCTGTAAATATATACACATTTGAGAGATTTGTAAACATATACTCTCCCCTGTTTATATGTATTGAACATTTTAAAAAAGTTTTTAAGAAGGTGTTCATAGGTAAAATAACAGGGCAATAATTAAATAGCATTATTACAACAACATTAAGACATAAAGGTTAGATAACTTTTTTCTAGTTTGCTATGGCTAAATTCCATGTAATGACTCATAAAATAGAAAGCAGGTGAGTCAAATTTTACTGTTTAATTAAATAATATAAAATAATACCAGCAAACATTATAAGCCTTATAAGCTTCATTAACCAAACTATTTTTTTGACTACTATGGAAGTCAATCAGATTGCAGTTACCTGGTCACAGTTCAAGGAAATGGGAATGAAAAGATTGGTTACTCTATTATATTCATTTTACTATTAAAACTATTTATCACCTGTTATATCTGGGAAAAGAGGAAGATAGGATAACAAATATTTATGTCACTGTTATTATGTTGTATTTCAAGTTCACTCTGAAATGATTAAGTCTTGACAGTGGAGAATAGATAGGAAACAACTGAATATAAAAATCAGTGAGATAACGATAGTGTCTGATGGAATCATGGCCTCATTATATAATGAGGTTATAGTGACAGTGCTAACCTTGTAGTCAAACATCATAGCCATTATAGCTTACCAATAAATAATGAAAATAATTGTTTTGGTCACAGGAAAGTCCACTTTTCCACCTTACTCCAGTTAGGCAGATTTTCAGTCTAATGTATGGGCAAATTAGCAGGATTCTTGTTTAAATTTTCAGAAGTGAAATTTATGAAACTGAAACTGAAAAATGCTTGTCTAGATACTATTGAACTACAACTATCATTAACTCTCATCATTGACCATGCCTCCAGGACTGCTGGGAATTGTAGTTCAGCAATCCCTGGATAATACTTAAGTTCCATGCTCTTGGTCAAGTTAGGGGTTGGCAACTTGTAAACTGTGTGGCAAGAGTCAGCACTCTCCCATGCCGCAATTTTGAATGTAAGGGGTTTCTGTTCATGTTAATTTGTGATTTGGAGGAACTGAAGGAGTGAAATGGGTCCATTAAGCCTTGCAGAAGCTTAAGACAGACATAGCAACCCTTAAAACATTGAGCATCCTCAGTTGGTCCATATTGTTTTTTATTTATGGGAAGAGGGCTAAAGTGCAAAATGAGTGCCTGGAAAAAAATGGTATATAGAATATAGTATATCTTTAAACAGATTCTAATAGCAGTTTAGAATGGGCACCTTTTGATTGCTCTATCAGATGCATACTGTCCTTTCAAGAAATGTAATTATGCTTTCTGTCTCCAGCTTTGCACACTCTTCTTCTCTTCCATTCTCTTTTTCTCCAAATCCTGTTAATGTGTGTACCATAAATAACGGGGTCAGCAGGCACAATTCCACCCCCCCCCACGTCTATATTTATTATACGAGCTTGGATGAGTTTGTGAACATGTCACAGTTTTAGAAAACCCTACCTCATGTTATTACTGGGAAATCTTAAATTTGACATAGTTTAGAAATGATATAGGGCATTTTACCACCAGTTATAAACATTAGTTATAAACTGAATATTTTTCCATTTATATCCTCTGCTATGCATAAAGACTCAGTCTTTCTCACTTTTAACTCTAGATAGGTTTGATTCCCTGGCTAAATGTGCAACAATTATGTTACAGTATTTTTGGAATCTTGAATACCATCAAGATTTCAGAGTAGAGAGCTAAAGAAACAATAAACTAAATTATTGTGATCACACTCTATGGCTGCAGAAATGCTCCTTGGAAGATGGTAAAATGCAGGATGGAGTAAAAAATTTTTCCTTTACTCTGTAAAGAGTAATGGATAGTGTTCACAGTTGTGCCGAGCATCAAGGAAATCAAGAAATCCAGGCAGTTCAAATGAATATAAAGGTTTATTGCAAGCTTAAGCTCTCTACAAGAATCTGAACCACTAATGGTTAAAGCAAATTTGGCGGCTTATAAGAATCAATGGTGGACTGGACTTAGATCTCCTGTGGGCACAAAGGGACTTGAGACTGATGATGTGTTTGACTTCTCTCTGTGGCTCAACCTGGTCATCTCCTACTTAAGTCTGGATAAAACCCATTTGCAAACTAGAACAACGATATACAAGGACAGTTTCCCCCTGCATGCTATCACTGTACTTAACTATTAATTCCCACAACACTGTCAAACGATTTACTAAGACTATATTACTATTCTTCTTCTCATCCTTCCTATTACCTATCTCCTTCTACTTATGACTTTAACCTTGTTGCTTGTATCTGTACGGTTATATTGTTATATTTCGTTCCTAGTATGATTTGGATTGCTTATTTAGTATCTTCTGTCTATCACTAAGTGTTGTATCTTATGATTCTTGATGAATATATATTTTTATGTACACTTGCGTGTCCAATCATATTTGGCCAATAAAGAATTCTATTCTATTCTTTTCTGTTCTGTTCTATTCTATTCAAAAAACATTTAAAAGGTGCCATTTCAACTTGTTCTAAGGGTAAATAAGTGAGAAGTGGCTGGAAATCTCAATATCTTTTTTATTTTTTTACAAATGAATACTTGAATCAGGACCATGGTACATGAGAACAGAAGTCAGGCATTTCTCTTCATGCTCTTGTATTACTTAAGCTTAGTGGAGATGCAGGTTAGGAAACAGGTTAGAGTATACTACATAAATAATCAAATCAAAATAACCCCAAACTGTTATTTCTCTTGATTTGTGAAATTTAATTAAAAATGAATAAAAATGACTATAAGCCCAAGAAGCAAGAACAGTTGGGGATTTCCCTTCCCTCAGATGCTTTTTGCAGTTCTTCAATTTCAGAACTTTCATAGCATATTTATATGATACTAAATCTTTTAAACTACTTGTTTTGTTAACCTTTTTGTGCATGCTCTTTCCTACTCCAAAATGCATACATTACCTTCTGAAACTAGACTCTATAAAGAATAAGGAATAATTTAGATAATAAAAAATACACTGAATCTGAGCAGTGCAGCAGCAAAAAGAAGAGTTCTATTTATCATAATATATCCTGTGCAATTTAATTCAAACTCTCTGCTCCATGATAAAAAGTTTCTAATGTCTAATTTCAGGGGTTAAAAATAAAAGTACAACCCTTAAATATAAGTTTTCAGATAGATCTGCTTAATTTGACATGTAATATTTTTAGTTTCTTCTGCTCAGAATCGTATAACAATTTGTTTCCTATATGGATTTTCACAAAAAGATTAAAGACAGGTTTCTATAAATATTACCTATTTAATGTATTTGCTTAGCTGTTGTTCTGTAGCAAGTAGCACAGATATTCCCAGATTCCTAGCTGTGTGGTCCCTGTTGCAGTTGGAAGCAGAATAGAAACATCTGAAAACTATTATTTGGATTATACATGCTATAGTATCTAATCTTACCTTTAGGATCCGGTTCCTAAATCACAGTTCTTCTCACCCTTTGTATTCCCCAACGTGACACAACTTCTAACATACTTGAAGCATAAGGATTCTTTCGATAATACCCAATATAAATTAAAGTGACAACTGGAATAAACTGTAGACATATGGATTTGCCACAAAATTAATAGGGAAAGCAAATTTCTTCAGTTATATAAAAGGAAAAATGAAGGTAGTCTTAGGATCTATCCAATAGTTTTTGTATATGAATACATTTTAATGTTTGTTTTTGTCACTTAAGAATGAATGAATGAATGATATATTTTCAACAATATTGCTTTCTTTTGGAAGAATTTTGATTATTTTCTATTTAGAATTTATTTATTTCTCTTTTTTCTTGTTTCAGAGTATGATATCATCCATTGTAAATAGCACGTATTATGCAAATGTGTCAGCTACTAAGTGCCAGGAATTTGGAAGATGGTATAAAAAGTACAAGAAAATTAAAGGTAAATTGATTTTAATTATCATTCAATGCCAAACCTTTTAACGGATCACGAATACTTGAAATGTGTTATTCTAAAATGATCAAGATGTGCTTACAAAGGCTAGTTTATATAGAGTGTCATCAATATTTTTCCAGATACAAAGATCTTCTTTGGTTGAAGCAGTTTCTCTATGATCTTCAACAATTTTTATAAGTATTGTAACTCAAGGTAAAGAAAGGAATATTTCAAAAGTGCTTTATTCAGTGAAAATACAATCAAAGGAGCTAAATAGCTTCAAGGCCGTTTATGGATCGTTGTTACTTGTAAGACAAAAAGGGAGGGCATTCTTACTATGTTCAGCTTCAAACATTAAAAAGCTCTTCCTGTAGTCCCAGAATTGCCATTGCAAGCACCAAGTATTTCTATCAAATTATGGTTTTCTACTTCCTTTCTTCATTCAATTTTTAAAGCTTTTCTTTTTCTCCCATCCCTCACCATTTTTTTTAAAATAAGTGTACAGTTAATTGTTAAATATAGAAAAGCAGAATAAGACCTTGATTTGAATTAGGAGGTCAAGGATCTAAGCCCAAAGAGTTTTCTGGATAACTATGTGATGCTGCTAATTAGATTTTGAATTTAAAACTCATTGGGAATGTGTGTGCAGGTATATGTATGCATGTGGGGCAATGGAAGATTACAGCCTCTGTGAAATAAACACAAGCTGCTTTAACATGGCACATATAGTGTTGATTCTTTAGCTACAACAAATGGGAGGAAAACAGCAATGAAAAAATTACTATAGGTGTACTTACTGAAAAATAAACAGAACCCAACTTTATCATCATCATCATCATCTCCAGGAGCTTTTGTTATATTTTGTTTTCATATTGTTTCATTTATAGTATTTATAAATGAGAATTGACTTTATATGTAAGATGAAAGTTTTAGTTTCAGAAACTATTTTAGTGTATTCCTGTGGATTTAAAAATAAGTGTCAAGTTATGAATCTGGTCAGCAAGATCAGCCATCATTCAAGGTCAATCCAGTTGAAGCAACCACCGTTGTACACATATATCTTAATTTCTGTTACATTAAACTAATTGTAAAAAAGCTATTCTAATTTAATATTGCAAATGGAAAATGACGAAGAGCTTCAAAATCATTTTATTGGCATTTCAGTTGAACATAATCTGCTCTGTGAAATGTGTTTCTGATTTATCCACTAATGTCTCTTTTAATAAAGCAGTGGGAACTAACTGGTTCCTTCTTAATCAAAACCATGATTTCGTAAACATAAGCTATGAGATTTTGTTACAAGTTGCCACATACAGATCTCTTTGGTCAATCCTTTCCCCTCCTGTTCTGTTGAACTAAACAAACAGTAAAATAATTATACATACAGAAAGATCAAAGTAAATATGACTAATGCATAGCAAAAATTTTAAAAACTTTCTGAAAGGAAAAAAAAAGCATTAGGTTGCAGAACATATATTTAATGTTTAAACAAATATGAGAAACTGAACAATCAATATTTGATATCATTAGCAACAGATGTAGAAGTTATATGCAAAGACCACTTGAAATAAACAGGTTATAGCTGTGGAATCCATTACATATTCAACATTGCTATTATGCATAGCTCATATCAACTTTTGTCTTTATATCATTCAGGCTTGAATTTTGTATTGGTGAGATCTGCATCTATTGGCATACAAGCTTCTAAAATTTGATTGCAGTCCATTAAAATTGGTACTAGAAAAAATTATATAGACTATCATTTTGGGGATTAATTGCTCCTTTGTAATCCTCCTATCATTTCATTTTCCTTTTCCTTTTCATAATTTGTGTTTGAAATTTTATATTGTACATTTATAAGGAAGATTTATCTTAGCAATTAATAGAACTTTGTAATAATAATTATGACTACAAGAATTATGAATAATAAACCTAGTAAGAATAATAGCAGTGACATTTGCAAGGCAGAGGGGTGTATATAGCAAAAATTAAATATGAAATCTTACTTATCTAGGCTTTCATTCAAAACATAGATCAATTTTACCATTTTTGTGAAACTCCCAGCCTGCCAAGAAGGAGGGATCAAGTGAGGAATTAGCCTGGAGTCACCATGCAACTGCAAAAAGGCTAGGATCAACCTTCCCCCTCCCAATTTCCTTGGAGTTTTATCTAATTGTTCCTAAGACTGGGGCTTCAAGACTGGGGTGATTCCTGTGTTATAGGCAGAGCATAATAAAGTAGTTACCTTGAACTCTGCATGTTGTTTGTGCCTGACAACCATAAACCAATTGAAACTGGACTTTGAGGGGTGAAATCAATACAGATCCATCAATATGTGCTCTGCAACTTGCTTATATGAGGTGTGCCATAATTTTTTTTTGCTACCATTTATGGATACACAAAATTCAGGAAAAATATTTCTTTTTTTTAATATGTAGCTGATCAAATTTAGTATCTCACTGAGATATATTCACAATGGTATTTTTTAATTAACTTGATAGGCACTCAAATGGTTAGATATGGATAGTAAAAAGTTTATATATTATCAGTTCATATCACGTTGACCAGAGGCAGGTTCCTACCAGTTCCTACCAAATAGGTAATAACTTGGACTGCCACGCCCCCGAACCAGTTCTCTCGCTGGCGCCTATGGCGCCACCATCTTGTTTTTTTCTTCTGCGCAGGCACAGAAGTATTTTTAGTACTGCGGATGCGCGCCTCAAGCACGCCTCAAGCACACAGCGCATCCTTGAGTGGACCGGCAGTAGCAGCAGCCAGAACCCACCCGTGACATTGACGTCTTCTATAATTTATTTTTTATTATTTCTTAAATAAATTATATGGTTGCCCCTCTCACGGAAAGTAACTTTGGTTGCTGTACAGCAGTAATTTTTTTATTATATATAGTACCTATTTTAAGTCATTTTATGTATCCTTTGTTCTGCCTTTCTTTTAGTAAAAAAGAACAAAGTAAAAAAAAAGAATGAAAGAGAAAAGAAGAAAAAACAATATAACAATATAAGGGTTTTTGTATTAATTTTATAGAAAAGATTTTCAATGAAGGATGACACTATCTCAAATCAAATAAAATCTTTATTATGGGCACAGCTAATGTAAAGTATATTTCATTGTAATCATCCACACAAATTCCAAGTCTGTAAGCAAATCCTTCTGAAATTTCAAACAGCATCACTCTTCTCTTTTCTGTATTTTATAACTTTGAAAGTTTGTGTAAATGAGACCCATTGCATATAATAAGCAGTTAAGTGGTATGGGCTGTAAAAAGCCAGATGACCACTAGATAGCAGCAAAGAGCTTTTATTGTCACTGGTCTTATTTAGTGGTTGTCTGGATTTTTGAAACAAACATCTGATAGTTCTACCGTAATAGTTCTAATTGTGATCTGTTTATAAAGTTCTATACAGTAGGCTATATTCAATGCTGTGAAATGCAGCTTATGCTATACATTCCTTTGGGGTACGGAAAAAAGAAGACAAAATCAATTCTGCCAATATTTCTTTCAAAAGAGGGGTTTGCTTCCATGGAAGTTGCAGAAGATGCAAATTTAGTCATAGGTAGAACTAGAACTCATGGTCTCCCAGATCCTAGCCTGGTATCTTAACCACTATATCAAATTGGCTCTCCATGGCAATATTAATAGGCTTAAAAACTAATTGTAATCCTGAATTATTGATGATCAATGTTTTATGAGGCAACTCTATTTGTCATGGAAACTGATTCTTGAGTTCCCATTAGTGGGTGGCTGTTATGTTCTTATTGTGTTTGTAGGCTTTTTATAGATATCTGCTTGGCCATTTTTGATATAGAATTCTGGATAAGGTGGGCCTTTGAGCTGATTCAGAACTTGATCTTGTGTTCTTAAAAATTACAACTACTTTCTAAACAATTAATATATTAATGTGAAAAGTTAACAGAAGTTGTATAGGAGCTACAGTGATCTTCATATGAGCTCTAGGTAATAAGATTTACTGGAGAATTAGTTGACTGATATGTACTATTTTGAAAATAGATTTTCAGCAGATTTGCAGGAATTCATTTTAGGAAGCATTTTATGACTGCCAAATACTATATTGGAACTGCCCTTTTGGGCACACAAATCACAGATGTGCAAATAGTTTTCCTGGTCAGAGACCAGACAGTAAATAACACTGATAGATGGTTGGGCTAAACATGAAGTTAAGTGTTGACTGGAAATAAGATTTCTGAAATTACCTCTTTGCTCATAATTGGGTTAAGTGGGTTTTGATGAAAAGAAATAAGTAATTAAGATAATCACAGTTTTTAAATAAATTACCCACATGAAAAGCACCTCCCATGCTCTAGAATAGTTCTAGGAAGTCAAGAGTGGTAATTAGAGAGTCGCTTGACAGTGAGAGGGTCGGCATATAAATTTAATAATAAATAAAATAACTCATACTGTGTATCTTTATCTACTCCTTCTAGAGCCTTGTAATGGTATTGTAATTTTGTTTTCCCCAAATATAATGAAAACTAGCTACAGCTATACAGTATGCAATGCATATATGCTTTTCCTGGTTCTGCTATTCTGCATTAATTAGTAACAACAATATTAATATTTTTATAGGATTATATAGACTATATCAGGAGTTCAGTCGGTATAGAAGCTTGGTAAAAATAATTCCACATTTATTTAGGATTTTTCAAACCTTTAGGTATAGTTTTTCCATTATGATTTGAATAGCTACTTATTATTATTTTGAAGTAAGAATATATTGGTGGTGGAGGAGAAGGCAAGAAGAACCATAGTTTATGATTTTGTCCTGTTATACCCTGTTTTGAGTTGACCAGGGTATGCAAAGTGAAAATGAAACAAAATAAAGCAAAACAATAAATGAAAAGCTTAAATGGCTTAAAATTTATAAATAGATGCAAATGTTTGCTTCTTGAATTTGCTGTTGAAAGAAGCCAAAATATTTAAAATATTATGTAGTATTTTATTGATAAATATTTCAAAACTGGGTATCTACATTTAAGATTTACGTAACCACTTAGGAATGGTATATGCTATCAAGGGCTTATTTAAGAGAATCTCTTACAATATTTGTTTGTTTATTTTTTATTTGATTTCAAGTCTGCCTGACTCTTTAATGTTCTGAGTGGCTTACAGTTAAAAACAGTAGTTGAATGTACACTGAAGTAGTGAATTGAAGTTCTAAAAAAAAGGAGGTGTATATCCCATAACTCATTTGGGAGTATGAATTTGACCCTGTGGACTGCTGAAGGGACGTAATGTTTACACAGCAGTGATTTGGCTGTACATATGTCATGGGAGAAAGAATACAAGTGATTTCAAGTGTTTCAAGTGTTTACAAAGACATGGTATGGGAATTGATGATATTATCAACAGCAACTTAAGAAGACAAGACAGTATCAGCTATGTATTTTTTTCTGCATATAGTTACACACACACAGATAAACACACAACATGAGTTTATGAGATAGAAGAACTAAAGGTCCCTGCGTATGCAAATGGCCATGCAAATTATACAATATAATATTTTGATTATTTCTGTGCAATGAAATTTAGAGATTTATAAGCAATGTGTCAGTAGTTAAAATATTAGGGTAGAGCCGAGTAAACCCAACTTCAAATCTGCTGTTACTAATAGAAGACTTTGAGCTGATCACTTTTCTCAATCTAACCTGACTCCCAAGATTGGAAGTAGAATTGCTACGTATCTCACTTGAAACTTGTGGAGAAAGGGCAGGATATAAATGTACATATTTCTGAATGAAAGAATGAATAAATAAATAAAATAAATCCTAATTGAATGTAAATATTTGGGGACTTAATATTTGAGTTTACCAGTGCAACAATAAAATATTAGCACAATTATTTGTTGCTTGGTTTGGAAGGCTGACCCAATCTAAAGGATTTGGGTTCTTGAATTATTTGTTGCTTGGTTTGGAAGGCTGAACCAATATATTGGTTCTTGAAATTCATGTAACCCTTACTACAAGTCAGATTTACAAAGGATGAACATTATTAATTTAATTTAGTGTAGAGTATTGTGCCAATATAGAGTTGGCATTAAAGTGAAAACAGCTTAATACAACTCTATCTGTTCACTTGTAATCCTTGATATCATTTCAAATTAAAATGAAAGTATATATTTATTATTTATTTTAATAGTGGAACGAGTTGAAAGAGACAACCTGTCAGAATATTGTGTTCTTGGTCAACGTCCCATGCACTTACCGAATATCAACCAGCTGGCAACTTTGGGCAAAACTAATGAACAATCTCCTCATGGTCAAATTCACCACAGTACTCCAATCAGAAACCAAGTGCCAACGTTACAGCCAATCATGAGCCCTGGTCTTCTTACGCCTCAACTCAGCCCACAGCTTGTAAGGCAGCAAATAGCAATGGCCCATTTGATAAATCAACAGATTGCAGTAAGTCGGCTCCTGGCTCATCAGCATCCACAGGCAATTAATCAACAGTTTCTAAATCATCCACCTATCCCTAGAACAGTCAAACCAGAACCAACAAATTCATCAGTGGAAGTATCTCCAGATATCTACCAGCAAGTCAGGGATGAGCTGAAAAGGGCCAGTGTCTCCCAGGCGGTCTTTGCAAGAGTGGCTTTCAATCGCACGCAGGTATCCTATTTTATTTATTTAACTGAAGTATTTTATTCAATTATTCTGTTAAAAAAAAGGCTTTTTAAAAAGCACATGAAAAAGACAATCTCTCTCATTGGGTTTTTCACTTTAAATGAAATGAAACAAAAGGAAAGTAAAGGAAGAAGACACTTCTCAGCAATTTTATTGCATTTCTTCACTCCACCTTGCAAAATTGAAAAAAAGCATTAACAAAAAAACCCCCAACTATTGTATAACATTTCACAACACTATGATATAGTGCCTTCTGTCCTTATATTTTTTAAATAAAACTTATATTTTTATGAGGTAGAAACTGGATCCAAATGATTGAGGAAAGATGGAGGAGATGGTTTAAATTTCTTTCTTTCATCTCCTTTTAGAAACTGATAGAAAAACAACGATCCCAGAAATACCTTTTTGAACTTAAATCTATTAAATTCTTATTAAAACTAGAGAATCAGACACTGGTGACCTGAGCATTATCTATTTAGGGTAGATAGTTTCAAATTTCCTTTGAAATTTATTGATCTATTCATTTTGTAACGGTTTTAAAGACAAAATGTTTTCCTTTTTTCTGCTTGATGAAAAGAGGTCTGCATGAGTATATTTGAGATGGAAGCAAACAAACAAGCAGGAAAATTACATCCTGCAATTTACTTCTACTACTTCTAGTTCTGACTATGCGCAGAAGCATATTTAACTTTGGATTTTTAAAACAGTATTGCAAGAACTACAAATCCTTTGTGATTACTTTCTCAGCAGTACCTTTTTAATTATGAAGCATTTTGGGGAGCCAGTAACATTGTTTGCCACATAGACAAGAAGAAGAAGCAATTCCATTTTAAATTGTTTTTATCAGATTTTAGTAATAATTTGTGTCTGGAACTCTGCACTTTGATATGGCCCAAGGGCTAATCAATAAAGTAAACTGAACTGAACTGAGAACCATATATGTTAATTTCCAGATGGTATTACCATTATGGTGCATATAAGTGCCATAATACTCATACACTCATTGATGATGAATTAATTCCATAAAACCTGAAAATTAGAAAAAAAATTAAATGGCTGAAATCCTCTCCTTTTAGTATCATGATTTTGGAACTTAATTTGGCCTTGGGAACTTATTATTTCATGTTGAATTATTTTGTCATGGTTGAATGTTTTAAATATTTTCTGTAATTATTATACATAATAATTTAATAATTAAAATGTGCATGGAATTATGTATTTTTTCAGATGAAGCTGTTATTCGATCATTGCCCTGACTATAACAAGGGAGCTTACCAAGGCTGGGGCGGGGTGGTGGTGGTGGTGAGGGGAGATATCACTGTCTTCTTTTTGTAGTCTTCCTGCATTTCCCCCCTTTTTTCATTTTTTTTTCTTTCCTCAAAATTTTTTTGTAAAGGGAAATGATGAAGAGTTCTGCAGTACCTTTTGTTTGGTAATGGTAGATGCCAGGAAGTATTGTCTGAACATGAGAAGGAAACAAGGAGACCAGTGTGGAGCAGAGTGGTCAGACAGGAAATGATTAAGTGTTTATGTGAAAACAGTTTGATGTACTTTCACTTCATTTCTCTTTCAACATTTTTCCAAGGAAAGGGCGTGGGAAGTTTCTTTAGGTTTGCTCATGAAATGCATAGTTCTGTTCTGATATATGGATATATCACTTTTGGCATTAATGGAACACAATTGAATGTGAAATTCAGCTTCACAAAATACACCATAACTTCTTTCTTGAAGCTCAGACCATTATAAGAGTAAAGTAATGAAGCAAAGGTGGAGATTTCATCCTGTACTGCAATTCACAATGAATTTTTGGGACACTGTTACATTGGAAATTTCATATTGTATGGCAATTAAATAAACTAGCAGCATATTTTCAATACTTCATTTCTCCAATTAGAAGATGGCTGTATCTAGTAAAACAAATGTCCCTTTTAATCAACATGATTATATTTTCAAGCTGGCCTTGAGAGTATCAGTAAAAATTAACAGCAGAATACATGAGTATAGCCTTGTTTATGTTGTTTTTAGTTTGAGAAAGTATTCATCCGCTTGGATCATGCATCTCTGTGTGTATATAGATATTGTTCTATTTCACCCTCTATAAAGCAAATATAATAAATGTAGATAAAATGTAGACAATGACATATTTTGAAGTTGACCCAAAAGATAAGCAGTTACATTTGTAGATCTTATAATATTGTCATTAAATTAGTCCTTATATGTTTTAGTTTCTAAATCTGTATAGACATATTTTTCAACATAAAGCATATTGTTCTTTAATATTTGATTTGAAGAACTCTTTTCCTTGATAAGTGACTGAACTACTCAGCTATTTGAAACATTTTTTGTCTTTGCCACAGAAGCTTAGGCCTCATATATAATATTTTTAGTGTGGAATCATAGAACCAATATGTTATTATGGGTGTAATGAATCCCTTTAAAAGAAAATGTTCCTTTCAAAATTATTGTGGCTAATGATTAAGTAATACCTCTTTCTGAAATTATATTTCAGAGATTTACAAAAACTTGGGTAATATTATCCTAGCAAGTTATGGAAGAGAAGGAAGGGAGAGAGAAAGAAAAAATGTCTAAATAAAAATCTGAATTTTCATAATAAATGATGAAAAGGATCCAAAGCATTCAAAGAATCCAACAGTATTCCCTCTTCCAAAATACATTACAAATAATAAGCATTGTGATTTTATAAAAATAAAGCCAACTTGGAATACAACTGCAAAGAACCTGTTGGCTATGCTTGAATAATATAGTGGATACATTCTATTAATATCCAAGTATAAGGACATACTCTGTACCAGAGCCGAGGTGGCGCAGTGGTTAAATGCAGCACTGCAGGCTACTGCTAGATCAGCAGTTCAGCGGTTCAAATCTCACCGGCTCAGGGTTGACTCAGCCTTCCATCCTTCCGAGGTGGGTAAAATGAGGACCCAGATTGTTGGGGGCAATATGCTGACTCTCTGTAAACCACTTAGAGAGGGCTGAAAGCCCTATGAAGCGGTATATAAGTCTACTGCTATTGCTATTGCTACCAGAGTCCCACTATTTGGGATGCAGTTAAACAGGAAGTGACTGTGTTTGACCCACTATTTCTTCCTGCTGTTTTGTTTTGAAAAATGACAATGATCTGCTGGCACCACTTCAGAAAGTGTTTCCCAAAATGGGTAAAAGTGTTCTTTTTTCTTTCTGTAATGATACACGTACTCATTACCCAACCATTAAGTTCTGTCTTTAAAGAAAGCTTTCATCCTCTATTTTGTATCCTCTGCCTCATATACTCAAGGGAAGGGGGAAAAAGTAAAAAGAGCAGAAAGAGAAAATTTCTAGCCTAGTTTAATTAGGAGGCCCTCCAAAAGTCGGAAACGCATCATTTCTGAACTTCCCATTGGCCGACTGGGCCAGTTTTTCGCCCTCCTTAGGCTCCGGAGGCTTTCCTGAAGCCTGGGGAGGGTGAAAACAGCCTCTCCCGCCCCCCAGAGGCCCTCCGGAAGCCAGAAATGGATCATTTCCAAACTTCCGGTTGCCCCGATTTTTCTCATTTTTTGCCCTCCCCAGGTTTCACAAAAGCCTCTGGAAGTTTGGGATGAACTTGCAGTTGGCTTGCTGGGTCTGTTTTTTGCCCTCCCCAGGCTTTAGAAGCTTTCTTTTTATGCGTGCCATAGGTTTCCCATCACGGCCCTATGCCTTTTCTTTTTAAATGAGCTTTTCTGTTATACAGGTAGTCCTCGACTTACAATTAGTGTAATTAGTTCAATTAGTGATGGTTCAAAGTTACAATGACATTGAAAAATGTGACTTAGGACCATTTTTCAGAGTTATACAACCTTTGCAGCATCCCCATGATCATGTGATCAAAATTCAGATGCTTGGTAACTGGTTCACATTTATGACCGTTGCTGCGTCCCAAGGTCACGTGATCACCTTTTGCAACCTTCTGACAAGCAAAGTCAATGGGAAAGCTAGATAGACTTAATAACTGGGTTACTAACTTATCGACTGCAGTGATTCACTTAACAGCTGTAGCAAGAAAGCTCTTCAAATGGGGCAAAATTCACTTAACAAATGTCTCACTTAACAACAGAAATGTCAGGCTCAATTTTGGTCCTAAGTTGAGGGTTACCTGTATATATTTATATTTATTCATTAGATTTCTATCCAGGGGTGGGATTCAGCCAGTTTGCACCAGTTCGTGTGAACAGGATGTTAATTTTGCATCCAGTTCACTGAACCAGTTGTTGAAAGGACCAGCTGGCTCTGCCTACCCCACCTTCCCAGGAGTCTCCACGCAGCCTGCCTATCATGCCAGGTAAGTGCAGGGCCTGCACCGAGGCTCTGGGAGGACAAAAAACTGGGCCTCCTGGAAGTCCAAAACGAGCCTGTTTCTGGTCTCCAAAGGGCCTCCGGAGCCCGGGGGAGGCAGTTTTCACCCTCCTGAAGGCTCCACAGCCTGGGGAGGATGAAAAACAGGCCTACCAGAAGTCCAAAAACGGACCTGTTTCCGGCCTCCGGAGGGCCTCCGGAGCCCGGGGGGGTCATTTTCACCCTCCTGGGGGCTCAGGGAAAGCCTCTGGAGCCTGGGGAGGGCAAAAACTGGGCCTATTGGAAGTACCGGAAGTCCAAAAATGGGCCTGTTTCTGGCCTCCAGGGCCCAGGAGATGCCATTTTTGCCCTCCTGGGGGCTTGGGGAAAGCCTCTGAACCCTGGGGGGGGGGAGGCAAAAAATGGGCCTGTTTCTGGCCTCCAGAGGGCCTCCAGAGCCTCAAGGTAAGCCTCTGGAGCCTGGGAAGGGTAAAAATGAGGCTGAATAGGCCACACCCACCATGTCCACGCCCACCCAGCAACTGGGCAGAGAACTGGTTGCTGACATTTTTCAATCCCACCCCTGCTTATATCCCACCTTTTGTACTGGAGCTTAAGAAGGCATACATAGGGCTTCCCTCTGTTTATCCATATGCAACAGCCCTGTGAGATTT